AACCTGGTCCGGTCGCTTGCCACTCGTATTCGACGCATATGTAGCACTGATACTGTGGAAGATGAGTTATACAATTTGAGGGAAATCCTAATGGAAAATGGATTTCCACCACGCTTTATAGATAAGAATATACATTCAAAGTCTACAAAACGTGACATATCAACCGTTCTCAAGAAAATACTTTACATGAGCTCAGAATTCAAAGGGGACTTAGCTTCCGATATCATGAAACGAAGGATATCACAGTCCCTGAAAAGAACATTCCCTGCTGCATCTCTGAGAATAGCCTTTACTAGCCGACCATTATTGTTCAATAACCTGAAGGACAAGATCCCACTGTTGACCAACTCTATGTGCGTTTATCAATTCACCTGCTCTTGTGGAGCTAGGTATATCGGTCGTTCGACTCGAGTTTTGTCCAAGAGGGTGCAAGAACACTATCCTGCATGGCTACGAAAAGGTGGAAGTGGAGCAATAAGAAGCGCGATCATTGAACATCTGGTCGATAATGATCACCTGATCTCTATAGCTTCCGCCTTTAAAGTCATCTACAAGGCAAAGAGTAATTTACCCAAATCCCTACCTACCCGACTCATCTGTATTGCTGAAGCCATCTTTGCCTATCGAAACAGAAAAGTCAGATCCCTGTGTACAGAAAAAGTTCGTTCAACCCCTCCAACTTTCATGGTCTTAATCCCTCTATGCTAAAGTGTGGTAATCCCCAATCATATTTTAGCTCTACCAATTTTTCATTTTGTCTATTCAATTTGTATACTCTTCCTTATTATTACTATTCTCACTTTGAACTGTCCCCGTTATTATTTCACTTGTTCCACTTGTCATTCTAAATCAATTCCTTTTTACGTTAAATTCTATGCTATTAAATTTCACACAATATTACGTAACGTTTTTGTTTTATTCGATCTGTCAACTAATCCTATAATTGCACACCCTTTTTCAAATTCTATCCATCCTATGAATTATTCTATATATGACATTAATTTGCTTTGCCACTTGACATTTAATTATGATTATAATCACAAACATTTTAGTTTTAATTGAACTTCATATGATTATTATTATTTTCTGCATTCACATCTATGATTCAATTCCCTCACCGGATATTTATTTAAACGCATAAAAAACTTGGTACAATGGCACCAAGAAAGATGCGCCACACAATAATAATAAAACAACATAGATCAAAAAAAAGGAAGGAAGGAAGGAAAAGAAAAAATATATATAAGTAGAAAACGGATAAAGAACTTCATCTGGAAGGAAGACATTCATGCTTAACAAGTTCAAACAGTGTTCGTTAGCTATCATCGGGAAGGGAAGAAAGAAGGAAATCACAACACATTCGCCACTGATTACGATTCTTGGCCATATCCGATAACATTTCGAGCCATCGATTTGAGCTATCTCTCGGACCCTAACCAGGGAGTCGTGACGCACCAACCGATGCTAATCTAGCACAAAAATCCTTTATCCCACGACGCCACGTCATGGACTGACCACCTCTCCGCCTTTTCCATCCCGTCCCACGGCTAGCGAACAGAGACCTGTACGGAAGCCTCTGGGGTGACATTCGCAGGACATGTCCAAACCACCGGAGCCGGTGTTTCCAGATGACGACATTCAATGAATGGTGATCTCCACTTTGTTCAAACACACGCCGCCGAACCTCAGAATTACTCACGCAATGATGCCATCGAACGCAAGCAATCCTGAGGAGACAGCAATGATCAAACACGCAGAGTCGCCGCACATCCTCAGCTCGGAGAGGCCAGGTTTCACAGGCGTAGAGCAGCGCAGCCCGCACCGAAGCATTGTATACCCGACCTTTGACAGCCAGGCTAACGTCGCGACGGCGCCATAGGTGGCTCAAGTTGATGTATGCCACCCCAGCCTTCATTATACGGTCGGAAATCCCATCCACCACCCCTCCGCCAGCAGTCACACAACTACCCAGGTACACAAACTTATCAACAACTTCAAGCGGTTCACCCGCAAGAATGAGTGCAGGTACAGGCTCCTGCCAATCTTGTAACAGAACTTTGCACTCAGACGGCGCAAAGCACACACCATACTTACAGACACTGATCGCTAACTGATTAAGTGCGATTTGGGCAGCCTTCATGCTATCGCACAGTAAGACGATATCGTCTGCATACTCGAAGTCGAAAAGTCTATCTCCAGGTAGCAGATCTACACCACCTTCACTCACATCCTTGAGAGCTGACTCCAGAATGTCATCGATGGCAAAGTTAAAGAGAAATGGAGAGATTGGGCAACCCTGTCTAACCCCATTGTTGGTTGGGAACAGTGGTGATAGTTGGTTGTATGCCCTCACTCTACCTGAGGTGTTTCTGTATAGGGCTTTCAGGATGTTAACAAATTTCTCAGGTACACCTCTCTCTAACAGACAGTTCCAAAGCACAGTTCTGTCCAACGAATCGAAGGCAGCCCTAATATCAAGAAACACAACGATCGTTGGCCTGCAATACGTGTGGCGGTGTTCCAACAACTGACGAAGGGTGCAACACTGATCAATGCATCCACGACCTGAACGAAACCCAGCCTGCTCTTCGCGAATCAATCCTTCACGTATTTTGCACAGTCTGCGAAGCAAGACAGCAGCCAGTATTTTAGACGCGACTGGTAACAGACTGATACCCCTATGATTGTCACACGAATTACGTCGACCCTTTTTAAAGATGGGGACGATAATGGCTTCGTTCCACATTGATGGTACACTCTCTGTCTCCCACACCGTCCTGAACAACCCAGTTAGGGCCATTGTGAGAGTCTCGCCACCATCTTTAAAAAGAGCCGGGGGTAATTTGTCTGGGCCGGGCTTTTTTTTTTTTTTTTTTTTTTTTTTTTTTTTTTTTTTTTTTTTTTTTTTTTTTTTTTTTTTTTTTTTTTTTTTTTTTTTTTTTTTTTTAATGATAGTAGACACTGAAGCTGGTGGCCAGCTGAACTGCTTCCCGAAGTGCTCTGCCCAGCGTTCCAGGCGTCTTTTCAGGCTGGTAATTGGAGTGCCATCTGCCTCACAGACCGTCTCGCTGACACCTTGTTTCTTGCTGCCGGTGGCTCGTATGAGTTGGAACAGCTTCCGACTGTTGCCAGATGCAGCAGCTGACTCCATCTCACACGCACGTTCTGACCACCAGGCTTCGCGGTCCTTACGTAAACACTGTCTAATCTTGCGCGTGAGCGCCTTTCGCTGATTGTTGTATTCGCTGCCAGCCGGAATGGACCGGCGTTCATCCATGAGTTGCAAGGAACTCGCAGAAACCCAGTGGTTGTTAGCGGAGCATTCTTTCAAGCCGCAAGCGGCTACACTCGCCTTTTGCATGGCACCTTGCACATGAAGCCAATGTTCATCTATACTACTTGGGGGGTTGCTGGCAAGCATTGTTTTTAACTCATTCTGATATTTCAAAGAAGTAGCAGGTGCTACTAGTTTGCTCACATCAACGCTTAGACGACGGCTTTTACGAACCCCACCAAATCGCAAGACGAACTTGGCACACACTAACGCATGATCGGAGTCCAGGCATGTGCTCCAGAAGGAGCGACAGTCTTGTATGCATCCTCGCCACCGGAAACTGACCGCGATATGATCAATCTGAGTCCAAGCTTGCTTCGCAGAGGGAGGACGCCAGGTAGCGCTACGGCGATGGCTGTGCCGGAAGTTGGTGCTAGCTAGAAATAGGTTGTGATCCGCGCAAAGCTGCAGAAGACGGTCCCCATTATCTGACCTGCGACCATGTAGTCCCCACTGACCACCTAGACGATTCTCCTCTGAGCTTAGACGCCCCACCTGTGCATTCAAGTCCCCAGCCAGCACTACGATATCCCTCCGACCCGCCTGTTTCAAGAGATCGCTCAGTTGGTAGTAAAACTCATCCTTCATTGCATCCGGGCTGCAATCCGTCGGTGCATAGGCAGAGACAACAAATAGACACCGCCTATCTGGCCTACTACTCTTTACTTTCGTGTAACCTTCCAGCCTCACAGCACATAAACGACTGTTAATGGGAATCCAGTCGAGCAGTGCAGCTTCGGCTCTAGCGCTCAGTGCGACACCGACACCAGCTACGCCGGATGCCGACGCCACAGGGTCCCCGGATAAGCGCAGGTGGTACATACTACTAGAACTTCCAGATGGAGAGGATAGTCGAAGCACTTCACTGGGATCTTGAATGCGGGTCTCCGAAATGCAGCAGACATCGATAGCGAGGCTTTCCAAAGTTCTTGCCAACCCTGCCTGTTGTCCGATTTGCATCAGCGTCCGAACATTGTAGGTAGCCAGCTTGAACGCAGCACGCGGTTTCAGGATATCCGTGTTAGATGTCACATTGGGAACAACCATTTTGAGGACTACTCACTAACATCTCGAAACGACACGGATAGGCTGGGAATCTCGACAAAGGCGAAAGGCTGTCGAAGGTTAAGAAGCCAAGGTTAGAAAAGGTACAATACAGGAAACTATGTATAAAAATAAAAGTAGGGTAGGAAGGAAATAAGTTCCTTGAGGGATCAATATTGCTTGGAATCATTTTGTTAGCGCGTTGAGTTTCAATGGGAGTTCGTTGCTTTAATTCATTCATTGTGTGCGGGCTGAGATACTGCCCGGGCGCCCAGACCGAAGCAGGTGGTTTTATTAAGGGACCACCCCCGAGCCTTTGACTTGGAGTCTAATCCGCAAGGCAGCGGAGCAGCGTCAGGAGCTGCATTCCCATGGTTGCCGGTGACCCATGTGGGTTCATACGCCATTTGATCCGATTGGAAACTGGAGCCCATGTACCCCATGGTAACTGCTTTTAGTTTAACCGCTATCCAGAAAACCTTCCTGACATGGTAGGACCTGAGGAGACAGAGTCCCAGTCAGTTCAGCTTGTTGGGTCATTGCGGTATTCAAGCCCGACCACCACGACAAGGTAGCAGTTATCGGCCGGATTACCGGATATAACTTCTTAAAAACTATATATATATATATATATATATATATATACAGCTTGATGATAAATTCGTTGAAAAGAGTCTCTTCGCTGAATCACTTGTTTTGATTTTCTAAATGCTATCAAAAACATACATTAAAACAAACTTCATTGTTAGCCGTGATTAACGACACTTGCATTGACAAGATAACCCTATTTATTGAACAATTTAGATTGGTTTACTACTAATAGCTTAATTTTTTTATGAGGGATTTATTTTCGATTTTACACAGCCAATCAAATTCGTTTTTTCGGTTATAGGATTTCATCATGCGCTGACATTAGTTAGAGAACCATCGGGAGTACTGGACAGCTGTTTCACCAACCTAGTTTGGGACTCTTCATCAATACGCACCCACCGACAGGGTTCGAATCCAGGGCCTTCTGGTTACAAGGCTAACTGGCTCGTAGACCATTAAGCCACTGGTACTCAATCCAATACCCAGCCCATGAATTCTAACTTCTGCCAATTCATGACATAGCGCGACCCCTAGCCAATGTCATCAGTGACGAGTATTTGTCCTCACACCCGACCTGTTGTACCCCACTGGTCACGACTTCTCACTAGTACTCCAGGTAACCGCCCACCTGAATAGGGCAAGTCGCTAGTGAGCATTGGCTAGAGGTTGCGCTATGTCGTGAATTGGCAGAAATTAGAATTCATGAGTCATTGGATCGGGCCCCAGCGGCTTAATGGTATACGAGCCAGCTTGCCTTGTAACCAGAAGATCCAGGGTTCGAACCCTACCGGTGGATGCGTACTGCTGAAGGAGCCCACACTGGGACGAAACAGTTGTCCAGTACCCCAGGTTTTCCAATGGTTCTCTACCCAATGTAGGCTCATGATGAAATCCTGTAACCAATCAATCAAATCCCTACAAACGAACACTTGAATATCAAATTCGTTTTATATATTTATTTATGACTTAAATTTCTGAGGGTTTTTTAACTATGATGCACTAGTGCATCTTGTCAAACAAACATTGTCACGGTTGAATCTGAATCTGGTGTCTGTCTCAGTGTGTGTGTGCCGGGAAAGGGGGGGATATAACTTCAAGTGATCAGTCAGTTCTACTGTCGTGTACTGACGCAGGCGCATTCCAGTCATATTAGACAACCTCCATCCCTGATTAGAGCCAAAACGAGAAATTATTGTATGTCAAAAAAACACGTTGCTGCTTAGGAAAAATTAATTTCAAAGAATCGTACGGTTGCATCATCTGATGCTGTACACAAAAATGGTTCAATGTTGTACAATTCTGTCTTACTATTATTCAATAACTGAAGGGTATTCTCATTTCCTTTTTCACTGTTTATTTCAACATTATTATTATGATTAGATAAGTTGTGCATTGATGGCGGTAAAGCTAAATCTAAAATCATTGCTTTATGACCCCACCATATTTTCAATGGGATTGGATCTTTCGATTGATGATTACAGGTAGGCGACGACAACGAAGGCGATTGTATTCTTTCACCAGAGATACCAGGCCATGCGACTATTGAACCTTTAACAGTTGTAGTGAAAAATATCGGTTTATATCGACTCCAACATAACGACGTAATTCCGATAGGTTGCTGTTTCAAATGTTTTTAAGAAGAAAGAAAAATATGGTGTGGATTATTAAGAAATTTTTATGTCAAACAAAAAAAGACAAACTATTCTGCGTGTACTTAATTGGTGGATGGTGGGTGACTGACTAGCAGTGAAATCCTGGATAGAGCGCATTTTGTCCTACCTGGGACTCGTCAACTACCTGGATTTACCTGCATTTCTCAGTGAGTGAGTGAGTGGTGATGTTCCCACCGAGGCTCGAACCCAGTAGCCATCAGCTTCAAACACCAGAGCGTTATCCACTAGACCACTTGGGCCACCTCTTGTGCAATGGCTCATATTAATTTAACTGAATTTAAGATTTTCTCGTCGATTGATTGGACGGAAGTGCTCGGTGTCAGGTTGACATGTCTGTTGGCTTCTTGTGGAGATGCTTCGACGATGTCCGGGCATTTAGTTAGTATTTAATTGGTGGAAGGTGACTAGCAGTGGAATCCATCAAGGGTGTGCGTGTCGTCCTATTTGGGACTCGTCGACTGGCGTTTGAAACTATGGGTGTAAGATCAATTCAATTTCCATCCTTGAATCAAGTCAACCTGTCCCGGATCAGCCTAGCGTTGTTGCAACCCAATTATCTATGCCTAACGTGTCTGTCCCCCCTTGTTTAATGAACTGTGTGTATGTGTTTTTACCTCGATCCGTTTAGTCAGATAGTTGAACTCATGACCCAATCAGAGTATTTTGTGAACTGTTATTTTTGCGGTTAGGACGCTCGCTGACCATGCACATGGTCCGGGGTTCGACCCCCGGCCGGCGCACTCCTTAACCTCACTGAGCCAGAAATAATGCTGGTAAAGAGGAAAGGTTGGGCATGAGGCTAGCAACCCCATCCTGTAAAAATAAACACCACTGCTACAGAAACTTCAAGCCACTAGCTTGGAGCCCTATGTTCCACTGGGAACGTGAAGGAAAAATTATTATTATGTCTTACTTTGTACTATTCTGTCGAGTTTATCTTATTTATTGATCTTCATCTGTATCAGCCTAACTGGTTAAGTAGCCAATTAAATTCTATCTCTGTGCCTATGCTCTGTCTATCTCTTAACCTGCCTTACTTGCGTTCATTCTTCTACTAACTGCTTACCTGAACGGCCGTGTCTGATTCCGGCTAGTTCGCAATTTTGGCTTTAACGTTATTCCGCTCTGATAGCGGTACCTTGCTTTCTGTTAAGCGTTGTGCTTTGTACTCCTGAAACCGTTAAGGTTTGTTGTATATATAATTATTGATTTGTTTATTAATAGTACCGTAGAAACGGCGACTGGCTTCTTGTTTGTTCTGAACCGGGATAGCCTTTATCTACGCGTGACTTAATTTCAAGCGATATTGCGCTTACAATGGATACTGGTCCGAGCCCCGGTGGGAACATCACTCACTGAGAAATGCAGGTGCATCCAGGTAGCTGACGAGTCCCCAAATAGGACGAAATGTGAATCCTGGATTCTACTGCTAGTCACCATCCAATAATTAAATGCCCAGACATCGTCCAAACATCTGCACAAGAAGAAGCCGACATGTCAACCTGAGACCGAGCACTTCGGTCCAATCAGTCGACGGGAAAATCTCAAATTTAATTAACTACATATTCTGTGTACTGTTTGAAGAGAGAGGCTTTTCTTTATCAGCCTTGTAGACGTGACTTATGCATGCACCGACATGACAGGCCAATTTTGATTGGTCTGTCAATGGCTTCATTTCATGCAGCCAATCAGATTTATCTATGTAATATGGCTTACGTTTATGAGGTTTTTGAAAACAGAATACAGCAAGTATTTTGTCTAATAAACGTTGTGACGGTTGAATCTGGGTTTTTTGTCTACCTTAATTTGGGGGTGGGTGGGGATATAAATTCAAGTGATCTGTATCGTGTTCTACAGGGGTGCATTCTATTCAAGTTAGACGAACTCACAACTCAGTATCACTCCTAAAGTTTGGTTTGTAAGGATTAGTTATGCTTTTACGAGTTGATCAGGGATTGATACGAGTTAGAGAACCATTGAAAACCAGGGAGTACTGGACACCTACTGTTTCATCCTAGTTTTGAGAATCATTGTCAGTGATTAACTCGTAAAAACATAACTAGCCCTTACAAACCAAACTTTAGAAAATTAATCTGATGCTCGCTTGTCACTTGTTACAGGATGAAGTTTCCTGGAGTTCTAGTGAGAAGTCGTGATTAGTATCGCTCCTTCGCTGGCTCCATAATAATAATAATAATAATAATAATAATAATAATAATAGCTTTATTCCAAACAGTCTTTGTGGTACAGGTATGGAATTTTCAGCGTGCATTACAGTTTTTGATGTGGTTTTGTTCTCTGAGCTGGATAGTTAGTTTGCGAAGCTTTCATCACCTTACTGGGTGACATCTTTTTATTTTTTTATTTTTATTTTTGATTACAGCGCATACTTCAAATTGAAGTGAGCTTTTAGATTTCTCCACGAGTTTATTAATCATTCCTCCTGGTGACCTTGGACGTGATTGGTTGTTTATGTATGTTTTCACACCTTCTAGGTTACTTGTGTTGGAACTGATTGTTTCTGTGACTTGAATTTTGGCCAATCGTGTGTGAAGTTTCTTTCTTATTGGTTGATAAATTTTGTCTATCTCGATGTGTCTACTGATTGATGATTCACTGGAATGCCAAGCTTCTAAAAATTCTCTAGCATTCTTGTTATTTCCTTTGTCCAATATTTGAACGTTGTCCCAGTCGAATTGATATCCGTGGTTGTCTGTGTGTAGTGAAATGAGGGAGTGTATATCATGTCTTTTGACGGCTAGCTTATGATCGTCGATACGAAGACGAAGGGGACGTCCACTTTGGCCAATGTGCATTACAGTATATTGCATCTAATTACCTCATTAATTTTATAAGATTTTTAAAATAAAAAAAGGAAATAAATAAATAAACAAAACAGCGTAGCGTTTACATTTCAAACAATGCACCACAGGATATGAGATATAATGTTGATGTGTGATAGAAGATGAGAACAACAGTGTAATAGTAACGAGGAAAGGAAAACAAAAACTAATGGGAACTATTTGTCAGAGTGCTGCAGTAAGTTGATCGTGTCATACCTAACGGATTTCTCATCACATAACAGCTGTGTCAGATACGGTATTGTGGAGTTTTTGCATTTGGTAGTCCTAGCATATAGCCTCCTATTGGTGCTTCTAGTTCTACCAGATGAAATGCAAGTAGAGAGCTGCATATATAGAGGATGCTTGGGGCCCGACAATATTGTATTCGCTAGTTTCTTACATGATATAATATGTCTATCCACAATAGTGTTCACCAGTTGGTTTAACGATATCCCACTTGCCCTACTAACGGCTTTTAGGGCCTGCTCTTCTCAGCAAAGCAAAGTCTTTCTTAAGTAGTCCAGGAAAGATTAATGGGGAGCAGTAAAGAGGGATGGGTAGAATACAAGAATTTACAAACTGAGAAAGCAAAGACTGCTTTATACCAGACTGCCTAAATTTCCTAATGTAGAACGTTAAGCGAAACATCTTTCTAGTAACTAGCAAGATCTGGGAAGACCAGGAAAGATCGGTGGAAAAACTCAGCCCAAGGAACTTCACATTAGATGTATTTTCAACCTCTGTGCCGTCAATGATAGTGGGGCCATGTGAGCTAGCTGGTTGCTGTAGATCATGTTTACGTCTGAAAGTGAAATTGACTACCTGACATTTAGACGGATTAAGCTTAAGACCGTTTGAAGAGGACCACTGACTAATTTCCGACAGAGAGTTATTCAATTTGGAACAATCTGACTGAGAATTGACAGGCATAGAAAGAGAGAGGTCATCATTATACTTAACAAAAGTGGCTACATCAGAATGAGGCAAGTCATGTAAGAAAGAAAAAAGAAAACAGAAAGGGAGAAAGAACAGTACCTTGGGGAACACCAGCTAAAGTAAGTGAGGTAGTGGAGGACTTTCCATCATAGACGGTGTACTGCTTCCTCTCAGAAAAATAGGAATGCAGCCACGTATTCGTCCAGCTCTCAGCATGTGTTGCAGCAAGCTTACTTAGCACGAGAGACCTAGGAACAGAGTCAAATTAAGATGTGTAATCAAGGAAGGCACAGCGAACGTATTTAGCTCCTCTATCTAAACTAGAGACTATACTATGATGTAGGACAACAGCGGCAGAGAAGAGGTAAGATCGTCTTATTGATAGTGATTGACGCCTGTTGTTGTTGTTGGTTATGTGTATATCTCCATTACCTCTTGATATGTAGTCACATGATGTCTACTTTGTTTTAACAGTTTGATATTTTTGGCCTATATGTATGTATATTGATCGTTCATTCCATTATAGCTCACAATATATCTGTCTCGTCTGTCCATTGACTAAATAAACAATGTATGATCCTTACATATGTCCAAACCAAGTTCACTTTTCACAGTTTGAAAAAATTTGGGCATTGGGTATATGATATATTCATTATAATAAAGGTTTTCTTGTATTTCCAAATGAATGGAAGACAAAACGATATTGTTTTTACTGATGTTTCGCTATTTAATGCTAATAGCTTTATTTATTTACAAAAGTATCTTGAGATTTTGTAAATTCCGGTTTAATAATACCTCTTTGATAAAGCTATTAGCATTAAACAGCGAAACGTCAGTAAAAACAACGTCAGTATCGTTTTGTTTTTCATTCGTTGGGAAATACAAAAACCTTTATTATAATGTATGACCCTTTATCACATGGCATTACAACCAATCAGAATGCAATGATGGTAAGAAAAACTACTTATCTATCATCTGATTCGGTAAGTCGGTGGCATAACGGTTAGGACGCTCGCTGACCATGCACATGGTCCGGGGTTCGATCCCTGGCCGACGCACTCCCTTACCTGGCTAACCCGGAAGTAATGCTGGTAAAGAGGAAAGGTTGGGCATGAGGCTAGCAACCCCATTCTGTAAAAATAAACACCACTGCTACAGAAACTTCAAGCCACTAGCTTGAAGCCCTATGTTCCACTGGGGAATGTGAAGGAAAGGAAAAAAAGATTGGTTCATGTGTGTTAGTTATTTTCATATTTACTCTTGAAATTGTACAGTTAATTCACAATTCTACACTTTCGTAACTTTTTCACTGACACTCTTGTGCAACAAGGTCCATCTCTAATCGAAACCAGAACGAGAAATTGCATGTCGAAAAGAAGGTTGCTTCTTAGGAAAAATTAATTTCAAAGAATCTCAGAAGAGACATGAGTTCTGTCAAGGTTGCAGATACGCCTTGCTGATGAGTGCCAGATAGTACGAAACCTACGTCAAAGGCTTCCTATGGCCGATTGTTTCCAACTATCTCAAATCATCAAATCAATGTGCGCCGTGATGGCGAGCTACATAGAATGGTGGCCACATTGCAAAACCTGACTGATGGAATTCAGTCTACACCAATCAGAGGACTAGATGCATCACACTAGTTACTAGTGTCAAATCAAAATATCCACTACAGTCCTACAGAAGGTCAATCGCGAGCTCAAATAGCTCAGTGGTAACGTCTCTGATTGCAACACTGGGTGACGTGGTTTAGAATCTCAGAAGCGACATGAGTTCCTTCAAGGCTGCAGATATGCCTTGCTGATGAGTGCCAACTAGCACGAAACCTAGGTCCAAGGCTTCCTGCAGATTGCCTCGCTATTTTCCTAGCCGGTCCCAAACCCGGGTAAAGAAGAAGGGGGGTTGGGCGTGGGGCTAGCAACACCACATTACTAAATATTTCAAATCACTAGAGAAACTTCAATGCAGGAGAACACATAAAACAATAAACACAATTAAACTAACTCCATCATCTTCATCGATATACATCCATTTTTGACGTATACTAAGTGTTTGAGTATCGCATATGCCCAGAATACCAGTCACTGTACCGAATGCAAATAATGGATGCCTAACAACGTAATCAATTAATAAGAAAATAAAACAATGAATTAAATGGCAATACAATATTATTGAATGAAGTTCAACTTTATATATTCAACACCTGACTGATAGAATTCAGTCTGCACCAATCAGAGGTCTAGACACATCACACTAGCTGCTAGTGTCAGATCAAAAATATTCAACACCTAGCAAGAACTCACAAATGACCTGGTAACGCTAAGTGACTTTCAGTGGAGAACTTTGCTCAAAAGTGTACCACTTCAAGTGTTGCGCTATAATTTATGCAGCCTTACATATTCGATGGTTTGGCGGCAGGACTCTTGCAAACCATGCGTTTAGTGCGCGGTCCGATCCCCGACCGAATGACGAACTCCTAAACCTCTTTAAGCTGGTAATAAGGATGGGCTTAGGTGAGGCTGGCTAGCAACCCCAGTACTACCAAAATTTTCCAAAGAACTTGAAGCCCTATGTTCTACTTTACTCATCTTAATATCCGGCTAGATGAGGGGTTTATAAGTATATTGTTGGTTGGAGATCGAATATCTGGGATCTCGCAAGCGGTGTGGTTGGCACGAGTATTCTAGCTCTGAATATCACCGAAGCATTTTTTTAACTTCCTTTAATACTTTGACGTTAAACAGTGTGCATTTTATGAAGAAATGTTTGTGATCATAATAATTCAGTCGGGTTTAAGGACATCTACTCGCCACCGATGATACCGGATAGTGCTAGTCGCACAGTTGCCAGATAAATAGTCTACGAGCTCACCTTGTAACCGGATGGTTGTGGGTTCAAACCCTTGGAGGTGGGTGGATGCGTACTGATACAGAAGAGTCCCAAACTAGGCTGACAAAACAACTGGCTGCCTGGCAGTACTCCCCCCTATGGCTGGTTTTCTAATGATTTCTCTAACCGATATCACCTCATGATGCAATCCTGTAACTGGTCAGAATAAATGAATCCTTTAGATTTTATGCGGAAATGTTTGTGATCATAGTGATTCAGTCTTTGTGGATCGCAGAATCAACACGTAAAGTATGCACCAAAGATGAATCAACGCTTGTTTTGAAGAGATTTGAGGAATTGTAATACGATGAGAGGCATCAGTGATCCGACGCTGATAGAATGTCCACCATCAACGCGCACACAAGCACGCACATGGTCCAGGTTCAACTCCCAGCCCACGAATCACTCTTGAAAAGAGATCTAGTCGACGCAGCAATAAGCCCAAAAAATGAGGAAGACTAAATGTGAGGTGGTTACTGACCACCTCTCGTACACAAAATGAACTTCAAAGCTACTGAAACTTTAAGCCATAAAAGCATGACATTCTACTCAAGTTTATTTTAAATATCATACACAGTGGTGACGATGATGCAGTGTATTGACAACTGGATGACAAGGTTTCCAGCATAAGTTATTGCTGCTGCTTCTTTCTTTCTACATCACCTACCATCTTTAAATGACATTAAATATGCTGACGACCTGACTGTATCTTTGCCTGTCAAATGTCAAAGTGACTACTCTAAACTAAGTGGCTCTTTATCAGAAATCAGCCAGTAGTGGTCCAAGGAAAACGGTCTAACCTTAAATCCCTCCAAAAATGTCAAACAGTCAATTTCACCTTTAGGCATAAATCTGACCTAAACAAACTGGTGATTAGCACTCACGAGGTATGCAACATACATGGCACTGAAATAGAAACCAAGTCGGAAATCAAACATCTAGGCGCCATTCTATCTGCTAATCTTTCCTGGTCGTCTCATATCTTGAGGATTTCTAAAAAAATATTCCGTCTTACCTTCTACATCAAGAAGTTAAGACTTTCTGGAATAACCCAACCCTTACTCCTACAATTTGTTAACTCTTGCATCCTGCCTATTGTACTCTATTGTTCCGTCTTAGTTTTTTTCCAAGGCTACTGAAGGAAGACTATAACCTTATTACGTAGGGTGTTAAAGGTTGTCAGCAGAGTAAGCAATGTGCCACTTAACCAGCTTGTTAATATTCTGGTTGACAGGCACTTGGAGTCATGTGAAAAATGGGCTAAATCCATTCTATCTAACTAACTCACACCACGCTCTTTATTCACAACTCTAACCCCTCCCCCCTTGTATCTCATCAGGCAGGACCAGAAGTCTATATATGGAAAACTATATGCTCGCACTAGTAAGTACAAAAACTCAACCATACCCTACTTAGCTCGTGTTCTGTGCGATAAAGAAAGCATTAGGCGTCATACCTATAACTTATTAAATAGTCAGTAGAACAACTGGATCTCGTCTTTCCAACTCATATCATTTATGGGCACGTTTTCTTTCTTTCTTTTCCTTTTCTCTCTCTCTCTTTGTTTCTCTGTTATGTGCTGCTTTGTTTCTTTCTTCCTTATGAACTCTATTTAAAACATTCTTCTTCGTTCTTTCACAATTTGTATATCTCGACGTCCTGTTGTTGTCACTTTCCATATCTCCCATTTAGATGCTCCACCATTCCGATTGCTGAACGCTTGCGGTGTTAAATCGATACACCAAAATTTCAGTGATTAACCCCTATCTCTCTCTCCACCTAACTATACATTACTTTTTTAATACTCTCCTCAGTCTGTCCCACCCTTTCGTTGAGTGATGACAAACACACGAATGCAATGCGATGCAATAGCTGACCTGTGTTTTCTAGGTTAACTAACTTAGCAGGGTCGATTATTCTATGTCTATGTCTAGTTAAATTTTTATGTTCCATTGATCTAGTCTGACCTACGATGGAATTGACTTCACTGACAATCATTATGTCTTCTTAATTCAATCTATGGGGTCCTTAAGCCGACAAACAAAGTTTATGTCCAAGTGAGTGAGTGAGTTAGTTGGTTGGTATAAATCCCGCCCTGACTAATTTCCCAGCCTTATTGAGTATCCTATGTACGGCCGCCTCTGACGAAATTCTTTCTTTTCATACAGAGGCAGTAGTACTACAGTGGCTTTGAATTCTATATTATTTTCGTCACTAACCAATGTCAGCTCATGATGAAATCCTGTTACCAACCAACCAAATCCCTACAAACCAACACTTAAATATCGATGAGATGCTCACTAGCCACTTGCCATATTCAGGTAGGCGGTTACCCAGGATTCTAGTGAGAAGTCATGACCAGTAGGGTGCAACAGGTCGGATGGTCTGAGGACAAATACTCACCAACTAAGACATTAGGGCTAGAGGTCGTGCTATGTTGTGAAATGGCAGAAGTTAGAATTCATGGGCTAGCCATTGGATCGAGTCCCAATGGCTTAATGGTCTACGAGCTCGCTAGCCTTGTAATTAGAAGGTCCTGGGTTCAAACCCCGGTGAGTGCGTACTGATGAAGAGTCCCAAACTAGGCCGAAAAAACAGCTTTCGAGTACTACCAGCTGGTTTTCCAATGGTTCTCTCTAACCATTGTCTGCTCATGATGAAATCCTGTAACCACCAATCAACCGAATCCCTACAAACCATCACTTAAATATTCGTCACTTTTGTTGCGATTTTTTTTATTTTTTCTATGTTTTCTTATACATTTCTAAATAAATTATGGTGCGTAGTTATTTAAATCTTCGAACATGGTAGAGTTGGCCTGTTGGCAGGACTACATAAACATCTAACTAAAACTATGTTTACCGACTCTCGACAGGATAGATGAATTAAAGTCTATGTATTTATTTGGTTCCCTATTAATGTGAGTATCTAACCTCCAATCATCCTGCTTTTATTATATTCTACAGTCTAGCACACCCAACTCACCTTGTTCGTTTTCTAACTTAAAAGTGAACTGGATTCCATCTACCACTGAGGTTATATGCATGAAAAAATGAGGGATATGTTCAGATGTTAACACAGCAGTGAATGTGTCATCCACACATCTCCCTCCATCATAACCCAGGTGCAGGATTAAATGTTCTAAGAGCCTTATGTTCTCAATGATATGTATCCACATGATGTGTGTTTTGTTTTCGACAGTCTGTTATATTTTGCTATGTGTATATGGATCGATATTTCATTATAACTGACAATATGCTTTTGTCTGTCCACTTACTTAATAAACATGTATGACCTTATTACCACATGACATTACAACCAATCATGGTAAGACGTTATCTTATTGGTTTATGTGTATTAGCCATTTTCATATATACTTTTGCTTTATCGTTCTTGTTCACACATTTCGTACATTTAAGTACCCTTCTACTCACACACTAGTGTGACATTTATTTCCGTTGTCTGGAAAATACAAGTATCATCGTAAACCTGGTGGTCTTCTGATTTCCCTCTCCGTGTCAGGACTATTAACTACTCGACGAGTACATAACACTCAACTATCCATAAATATGTCTGCTGTTATTACTTGGGATATTGGTGATCCCATTGTCCCCTCCCCCGTTTGTTTGTTCATATAGTTTATTTTGGAATTTGAATGGAGGTTAAACATAATAAGTGAACACTTAATATGATTTCATCAACCAAGTGACGACGTATGCCTACTTTCGAATGCAGGATCAAGGTTCAGTTTACTTCTTACTGACCCCTGCGTTCTACTCGGAACCCAAGATAATAATAATAATAATAATGCACAGTGAATAAAGGGACTTACGTCCATGAACAGCTCAATGCTTCAACTGATCCATCATCCTCCGTCTTGATTACATCTAAAATCTAAACAACATATGTACACAACATATATTAAAGCAGTTGGTCTCTTTATTAAGATATGCGTAAAACTTCAGTTTTATAAATTTTCTGTGCTGATTGAATTCCTGAAGGCTTTCACCTTTCACCCGCATCATCATTTTGCCTCTTCGATTCCAGTGAAGAATAATAACTTCGTTTTAAAAGTTATTCGTACTTTTAATACTCTTCTTTCTTGTGCGTTGAAGTTTATGTAGCAGGGTATAGATGTAGGGGTCGCTAGCCCCTCCCCTCCCACGCCCGACCCTCTCTCTTTACCTCTCTTTACCTGTTTAGCCTCAATACCCCTCGAAAGTGACTGCTCATGTACCACCAGGCTAAAAGTCACATTTATCGTTTGAGGGCTAGTGAGCCTACCATCCAGTTGCCTAGGCAGTGAAGCAGGTAGGTAGGCTCGAACCCATTGAGACGCATCGTCTGGAAACCGAGTTCTTAAGCCTCTAATAAACCATATACTTCTTTACCATGCAACACTAATGAGGTCTTTATGTTTCACACCACACCCCAAGAAAAAAAAACCAACTTCCACGCTGTAGGTTCAGTTGGAAAGTATCAACACATTGCCCATACAACACTCCCCTCAAATCTACAACACAAAGGCTTTCAGATATGATGAAGAAGATTTGTAGCTCAGGTGGTTGATTTTAATATGGTTGTGTTCTCTGAGTTCAGTGCATGGTTTATCTGCGAAGCTTTCATCGCCCTACTACTAGGCAACAGCTTCAGGGCATACTTCAAATTGAGTTTATTAGCCATCTCTCCAGGTGGGTGACCTTGAACGTGATTGGTTGTTTTTGTGTGTTTTACACTAAAACTTGTAGAAAAATCGAAAAGGCTTACTTCAAGTCAAATCGAAGTAAACTTTAAGCACCACTAACTACCAATCAACGAACGACGTCGAATTATCCAATGAGATTCACGAAGGTTAGTTCAATGTTGTATAGCGCTTGATTCATTTCAAATGCGTGCCCTTACAAGGTTACTCTTGCAATTCGAGGAGTGGACAGTGTTTTCCAGTACTGCCTGGATTTAAGGTTGCTCCGGAAGGAGCAAACTTTTGACAGTTCGATGCTTAACTGGGAGATGTTTCTCTCACATGTTAGGGAAGGGATACTCCTTGTAACAGTTTTATGCTTTTTTTCTATAAATATACGTTTCCATTTATCATCAATGCCTCTTTAATGTGATTGGTATGTTCAAGGTCGAAAGTTTAAATTTAGCTGAAGATTTTGCCGCCTAGTAAGTAGGGCAACGAAAGCTTTGCAAATTAACCATCAATCAGTCAGCTCAGAGAACACAACCACATACAAAAAAAAAACAAAGGCTTCTTGACAATAATAGACAAGAAAAAACACATCGCATATTTAACAGCTGTCATAAAAATTTACCTTTAAACGTGAATCTAACATTTCAGTAGTAGGAGTATGCTTAAGTGATACAGGACAGATAAATCCATTCCCTGTGATTAGAAATACATCACTTTCACTTGAATTGACACCCCCTGAAGATGTAGTAAATGATTGAGGTGACAGCAACTGATAAACTTCTAAATCTCTGCATAAAGTAGATAAACTTGAATGTGTACTGCACAGCTGAAGACTAGTGATCTGTGATTCTGTTTTTAAATCCCATACACGTAGATCTCCATCTTTGTAGAGGACAGCTAATTTTGGCTTATCTGTATTCACTGTACTCGGTAGAATGATAGCATCAATAGCTGGTTGACCAGTCCCTTTTTATGGGATTGCGGTGTGTGTGTGTGATTGGGAAAGAGAAAATGAGAAGAACAAATAAAATTGAGTTTAAAATAAGAATAAGGAAAGTATTTTTTTTCGAGTGTTTGACTGACTACTAGGCATGCGATTCGCACCCCCTCCCCAGTAAAATATAAGATGCTGCCCTACAGGACTGGACTACGTCAACAACTCCTACCTAGCTTAGTGATAGGGAGTGAAGTGCATGTGAAGAACATGTTGACCACCACCATTTCACCTATTTGGGAAGCTGTATCAGCCAACGCCAACGAACTGATTCGCGACGAAATCTCAGCACAGATTCAAAAAGCTCGAGCTGCTTTCGTTAATTTACGCCATCTCTGGCGTAGGCGTGACATCCGGCTATCAACCAACCAAGGGACGTGTGTACTATTGCTCAACAGTTCGTTCCGTCCTTCTCTATGGCTCTCTGAAACATGGCCAATACGAGTTGAAGACATGAAAAGGTTGACTGTTGTTTTTGATCATAGATGTCCACGGTCTCTTTCTCACGTTAGGTGGTTTAATAAGGTAATTAATGTTGACGTTAGGCGTAGAGTGTTGGGCAAACAGGGAAAATCAATCGACGAGGCTATAAAGTTACATAGATTGAGATGGCTAGGTCACGTGCTGCGCATGCCTAACCATCGCCTCCCCTGACGACGGGCATTACTAGCTGATATAGGTGCAGGTTGGAAAAGAGTAAGTGGTGGCCAAACAAAAACATGGCCTCACCAATCCATGAAATCCTTGACAGTTAAACTGAGTCAAGTAGGGAGATGCAGACTTCCGGGTTGAGGCCCTCGGGACTCTAGGAATCAATGGCTGGAGACAATAGGTAACATGGCTCAAAATCGTTGTCATTGACAGCGCCGATGTATTCAGTCTCTGTAATCTTTCATATTCCTTTCTACCATTACCCATTCTGTTTCACTCTTATACTTGTCAAACTCTATTGATTCTCTTCACTCATCTTCTTGTCTACATTTGTGTGCTATTTGGAACGTGGCAACTCGAACTGGTGCACTTCGGTGCCAAGTTCTATGTTGAATCCAGATAGAGAGACAGACAGACTAAAAAACTGACAGTTTTCAATCGAGAACTCTCTACAAAAGTGTACCAACCACAGTTCAAGTTCTAACACTTTATATAGCCAGGAGCTGACGAAATTCCAACATGGATACAGAAGGCTAATTTAGCATATGTCAACTAACGCCATCTCTAGCTTAGTAGACATGAAATCTGACTGCCAGTCCACCAAAGGATGTGTGTAGTGCTCAACTGTAAGTTCGCTCTTTCCTCTCCTCTTCATGGCTGGCTGTGAGTGAGACTTATGGCCATTGAAAGTGGAAGACATGAAGAGACCAGCTAGTTAGCCAACTGTCTCGAATCTTAAGTGTCTGTCTGCACGTTCTATCTGTTGTGTGTGTGTGTGTTATGTGGTATAATAGGGTGAGTAATACTGAGTTGATGGGGCATCCATCGAGTGCTAATGAGGCGGGGGGTGGGAAGCAATCGACTAGGTTGTGAAGTTACAACGATTGACATGGTTAGGAAATATGTTACACATGTGTTATGCCTAGCCATCGCCTTTCTAGACAACGGACAATGTCAGCTAACATAGAATGGATCAGACTGGAAAAGAGCTAGTTATTGGTAGGCAAATCAAAACACGTTCTCATCAGTCAGTGAAATTCATAACAGTGAGTTTAAGCCAACCAGCCAGCCACGCAGGGAGGTGTAGACTTCTTGACTGGTTGGGGTCCTCGGGATGGTAAAAACCAGTGAGGGCTGGAGACAATCGGTGATATGGCTTAAAGCCGTCGTTCCGAATGGTGGATTAGCGCAGGATACGTTCACTCTTTTTGATTTATAATATCCAATAATATTGTATGGTTCTGCCACACCGCTATTCCTATTGCCTCATGTCTGCCTGTTTATCATCTGTCTTTGCTCTCTTGTCTTGTTTTGTGTGCAACATGGGGGAAGAATGGTGGTAACTCGAACTGCTGCACACCTGTACGAATTTCTACTTTGCAACCAGCCAGTTAGTCAGGCACACAGACGTAGAGACAGGAAATTCAAACGAAGTATGATATATATCCACATGGTGTGTGTTTTGTTTTTTTGACAGTCTGTTATATTTTGCTATGTGTATATGGATCGATATTTCATTATAACTGACAATATGCTTTTGTCTGTCCACTAACTAAATAAACAATGTGTGACCTTATTATCACATGACATTACAACCAATCATGGTAAGACGTTATCTTATTGGTTTATGTGTATTAGCCATTTTCATATATACTCTTGCTTTATTATTCTTGTTCATTCTTGTACACATAAACTTTTTTGTACACTTGTACCATTTTCACTCACACTCTTGTGTGACATTTATTTTCCTTGTCTGGAAAATACAAGTAACATCGCAAACCTGGTGGTCTTCTGATTTCCCTCTTTCCGCATCAGGACTATTAACTACTCGACGAGTACATAACATAATTGGCGACGGGGAAAACTTACTATTAAGCACTCAGCAGCAGTACATAACAAAGTATAATTACATTTAGATATTGAGGGATTTGCGGGATTTTAGATAATTTTTAATTGTTTTAAAAGAATTTGTTTGTGGGGATTTGATGATTCTCTCAAGATCTAGATCAGCAGTTATTGACGTCAGTCTGTTACAGAGAACTATTGGAATATCAGTCACAGAGAGTACTGCCAGACAGCTAATTGTTTCGTCTACCTAGTTCGGGAGTCTTTCTATGCAGTAAGCAACTGTTACAGGGTTCCAAATCCAGGACCTTGGGATTGCGAGGCAACCTCGTAGACCATTTATTCAGTCACTGGGAAGCAACCCATCAGTGACTCAAGGATTATTGCCAACTTCTACCGGCGCGGATTTGAAGTGACGATTAGTACTCGCCAGCGATGACACAATGATTGGTACATCCAACCCCTCCCTGAATGGGATATAGACACAGGTCCTCCATCCCTAACTGAGGTTACTAAAGCTGTCACCAATCTGAAACTAGGCAAAGCAGCGGGACCTGATGGAATGACTCCAGAGGTATTTAAGTACGGTGGAGACAGTCTACTGTCTGCATTAACTGAGGTACTAGGCAGCGTCTGGGAATCAGAAGAAGTCCCATCGGGTTGGTGTAAGTCACTGATTATCCCCATATACAAGAAGGGAGACAAGTCTTCCTGTGATAATCACAGAGGGATTAGCTTGACTAATATAGTATCTAAAGTCCTAGGCTCAATAATCATGCGTAGACGGAGTGGTACTCGGGAGCCACAAACACGAGAGAGCCAGGCAGGCTTTAGACCAGGAGGAGGGTGTATTGATCATATCTTCACCCTCCGACAGATTCTAGAACATGGGAATTCCTACCGGCGTCCAACAGTCATTATATTTCTTGACCTAAAGGCAGCATTCGACTCTGTCGATCGGGAAGTTCTCTAGAGATGCTTGGCTGTAAAGGGAATTCCAAGAAAATATACTGCACTGATTGAGGCAGTCTACTCGTACTCATACAGCTAGGTGAGGGCTTACGGCGAGCTGTCATCTGAACTGATGACGACCAGTGGTGTCCGTCAAGGATGCCCATTATCTCCTTTTCTATTCAACTTCATCATGGATGTACTAATGGACTTAACCCTAAGTGACTTCAGCGACTCAGGGATTGACTTGCTACCAGGGAATAATCTCGTTGACTTGGAATATGCAGACGATGCAGTCCTTCTAGGCGAAGACGCTGACAAAATGCAGTTTTCTAAACACCTCGAAGAGATGTAGTGTACGAATGTTTGGCATGCGATTCGCTCCCGCCAAATGCAAGATGATGTTACAGGACTGGACTACAGTGACGCCTAGTTTAAAAATAGGAAGTGAAGTGGTAGAGAACGTTGACCGCTTCACTTATTTGGGAAGTACCATCAGCCCCAACGGGCTGATCTCTGACGAAATCTCAGCACGGATACAGGGGGCTCGTTCCGCATTTGCCAGTTTACGCCGACTCTGGCGTAGACGAGATGTTCGACTATCGATCAAAGGGCGGGTGTACTGCTCATCAGTCCGCTCCGTCCTCCTTTATGGCAGCTGTGAGACCTGGCCACTGAGAGTGGAAGACATGAAAAGACTAGCTGTCTTTGATCATAGGTGCCTGCGTTCTATTTCCCGTGTAAAGTGGCATAATAAGGTGAGCAACATTGAGCTTAGGCGTCGAGTTCTAGGTAAACAGGGGAAATCAATCGACGAAGTTGTGAAGTTACAAAGACTGAGATGGTTAGGACATGTGTTACGTATGCCAAGCCATCGCCTCCCTCGAGACAAACAATGTTAGCGGATATAGGGTCAGGCTGGAAAAAAGCTACCGGCGGTCAAACAAAAACTTGGCACCAGTCAATGAAATCCACAACAGTTGGTCTAAGCCACGAGGGAAAGTGTAGACTTCCTGGTTGGGGTCCTCGGGACGGTAAAATCAATTGTCGGAAACAATTGTTGACATGGCTCAAAATCGTTCTCAGTGGCGCAGATGTATCCACTCCTTGTGATTTATGATTTGCAATGAAACTTTTTTGTTCTTCGTTATCACTATTCCTTTGTCTCACACCTCTGTTTACTGTCTTTATTATGCCTTTCTTGTACTTTCTTCTCTTGCTTCGCGTGCTACACGGAGTGTGGCGACTTGAACTTCCGCACATTTGTGCAGAGTTCTATGTCGAAAACAGACAGACAGACAAGTAGCAATAAAATCACAAATTGATAGAAGTTAGAATTTACGAACTAGCAGCCATCGGAATAGCTAAAAAGGACTCTAGAAAATGACGAACCAACCAGTAACCTAATGCTCGATAAAATATGCCAAAGGGAAGTCTATATGGAATGGAAGACATATGCTGAGAAGACTGTCAAGTGACACCATGTATCAGCCAGGCCTTAGAATAGAAGTCGAATGGAGAACAAAGAGTTGAGTGTTTGTCTCAGAAGATGACATGGAAGAGATTGTGTGAGGAGCCAGATTAAAAGGACTGCAGAGGACAGTATCAAATGGAAATATCCTGCTCAAGCGGCATGTTCCCCTTGTTGGCTGGCTGGCTAGTTTCAGTATAGGACTTTGCACCGATGTACAGCAGTTCGAGTCGTCACACATCACTCAGCATACAAAGCCAGAGAAGAAAGTAATATGGAAGGAAAAATAAAGACAGTGAGCAGAGGTGTGAGACAAAGGAGGAGTAATAACGAAGAAAAAAACAGTTTCATTGGAAATCATAAGTCGCAAGGAGTGGATGCATCTGCGCCAGCCATTGAGAACGATCACTTTGAGCCATATCACTAATTGTCTCCAGTCTTCATTGGTGTTTTCTCTCTCGAGGAACCTAACCAGGAAGTCTACACCTTCCTACGTGGCTTAGACAAACTGTTGTAGATTTCATTGACTGGTGCCAAGTTTTTGTTTGACCGGCGCTAGCTATTTTCCAGCCTGACCCCATATCCGCTAACATTGCCCGTTGTCGAGGAAGGCGATGACTAGGGATACGTAACAAATGTCCTAACCATCTCAGTCTTTGTAACTTCACAACTTCGTCGATTGATTTCCCCTGTTTACCTAGAACTCGACGCCTAAGCTCAATGTTGCTCACCTTATTATGCCACTTTACACGGGAAATAGAACGCAGGCACCTATGATCAAAGACAGCTAGTCTTTTCATGTCTTCCACTCTCAGTGGCCAGGTCTCACAGCTGGCCATAAAGGAGGACGGAGCGGACTGATGAGCAGTACACCCGCCCTTTGATCGATAGTCGAACATCTCGTCTACGCCAGAGTCGGCGTAAACTGGCAAATGCGGAACGAGCCCCCTGTATCCGTGCTGAGATTTCGTCAGAGATCAGCCCGTTGGGGCTGATGGTACTTCCCAAATAAGTGAAGCGGTCAACGTTCTCTACCACTTCACTTCCTATTTTTAAACTAGGCGTCGATGTAGTCCAGTCCTGTAACATCATCTTGCATTTGGCGGGAGCGAATCGCATGCCAAACATTCGTACATTACATCTCTTCGAGGTGTTTAGAAGACTCTGCATTTTGTCGGCGTTCTCGCGTCTGCATATCCTAAGTCAACGAGATTATTCCCTGGTGGGAATAAGTCAATCCCTGAGTCTCTGAAGTGAGTTAGGTTTGATTCCGTTAGTACGTCTATGAAATTGAATAGAAATGGGGATAATGGGCATCCCTCGCTGACGGGTACCACTAGTTGTCACCACTTCAGATGACAACTCGCCGTAAGCTCTCACCTGGCTGGCTGCATGACTTCCAGTAGGAATGCCTTGATCACACTTCACACGGGAGATAGGAGGCATGCAATTATGTTTCCCTTGAAAACTAATGATAATAGTAAAACGTGCCTGCCGAATGAAGATGCTGCCGTTTACAGTGAGTCACACAGCTATTCAGTGTATATATGTGTGAAGGCTATACTTTAATGCTACACGGTCTCACCTAAATCTGGATGGGTGGGGAGTGATGTTCAATTGTGTTTCCCGGTGGTTGAGAAGTGAAAAAAAGGTATCTGGACCGATGAACCCATACATAGTTATACAGTCTCTCAAGCTCATCAGTCCGCTCCACCCTCCTATATGGCCAGCTGTGAGACCTGGCCACTGAGAGTGGAAGACATGAAAAGACTAGCTGTCTTTGATCATAGGTGCCTGCGTTCTATTTCCCGTGTAAAGTGGCATAATAAGGTGAGCAACATTGAGCTTAGGCGTCGAGTTCTAGGTAAACAGGGGAAATCAATCGACGAAGTTGTGAAGTTACAAAGACTGAGGTGGTTACCACATGTGGTACGTATGCTAATCATCGCCTTCCTCGAGTGACAAACAATGTTAGCGGATATAGGGTCAGGCTGGAAAAAAGCTAGCGCCGGTCAAACAAAAACTTGGCACCAGTCAATGAAATCTACAACAGTTTGTCTAAGCCACGTAGGAAGGTGTAGACTTCCTGGTTGGGGTCCTCGGGACTGTAAAAACCAATGGTCGGAAACACTTGGTGATATGGCTCAAAATCGTTTTCAGTGGCGCAGATGGACTTACTCCTTGTGACTTATGATTCCCAATGAAACTGTTTTTTTCTTCGTTATTACTCTTCCTTTGTCTCACACCTCTGCTTACTATCTCTTTTCTTGTACTTTCTTCTGTTGCTTTGTGTCCTACAAGGAGGGAGTGTGGCGACTAGAACTGGCGCACATATGTGCAAAGTTCTATGTCGAAAACAGACAGACAGTCTCTCAAAATGGTAACAAAAAATGTGTACACATACCTGATAAACATTTTGCATGACTAGCCGCGCTATTGGTATTTGTTAAATTCGCTTTAACCGGCCAAGCAGTTACAAGACCATCTTCATCTCCAGCCAATAGGACAGCAGGATTTGGTAAACCAGAAGTGTTGTCAACTTTTGACTTTACGTTAATACTATTCGCTGGAGGTGACCACCATCTTATCCATAAAAGATCTCCTGTATTCAGTGTAGTCAATAATTTCCATTCCAAGGAGGTTTCAACACTTTTCAACGGTTTCAACCAAACACGAATACTACCAGCCATATCACCAGTGCATAAATAACCACCATCTGGACTAAATTTGACACAATGGACAGAATCTTCATGACCTATATAAAATGTAATGATAAAAAACAAAGACTGAGATTTGAAAGGACTGAAATTACTGAACAAAAAATATTCTTTACGATAACCAACTGTTCATCAGGTTCTACAGTTATATAGATATACGGTCCTAAACTAAATCCTTTCAAATGTCAGACTGTTAATTTCAGTTGCGGATATAAAAGAAAGTTAAATGAAGCTGTTAATTCCCATTGTAACAGCAGAAGGCAAGGGCCGGCAACAGATCGTTTTATTACGGAAATCAACATGTATATATATATATATATATATATATATATATATATCACATGCATTATTATAGCTTATTCAAGTAGACAAATGCAGTCTTATGATTGGTTGTTTCGGAAAACATCGAAAAGTGGAGCCATTTATCTGCCAATCATATTTGCTCATGTTAAGTTTGCTGTGATTGGTTGTTGAATCAGCCTTGTTCATATTTTCTCACGGCCAATATTAGTGACATAGGCATTGACGTAGATTAACGTCTACCAATTGGCTAGAAGCCTGTTCTCACCACACCATGACCACTGTAAAATTGATGATAGTAATATAGAAATCAGGTCAGACTCTAAGTATCTCGGATTAATTCTTTCTTCTGATCTATCCTGGTCTTCTAATGTCTTTACGATTTCTAAGAAAATTCCATCTGACTTTTTCCATTAAGACATTAAGGCACTTAGGCATAGTAGCTCAACCCCTCCTGCTACAGTTTGTAAATTCTTACATCTTACGTATTATTGTTTACTGTTCACCCTTGCTTATTCTTTCCTGAATTGCTTTAGAAAGACTATGTCATGCTTCGTAGAAAACTCTGAAGAATGTCAATTAGTAGGGCGAGTGATGTCCCATTGAGCCATATAGTTGGCATCGTCATTATTGATAAGCACTTAATAATTTCATGTAATAAATTTGCTAAAGCGATTTAGTCAGACTGTGATCATCCACTTTACCCTCAGCTTTTACCTTGCACATCTCTTCGAGTCGAACAAGAAGTCATTTTTGAAGAACTTTACTCGCTCACTTCTAACTATACAAATTCCATGACACCATATTTGCCACATATTCTATATGATAAAAATAGTGTCAGGCATGAACTAACTGACTAACCTTCTTAACACTAGTAAATAAACCATTTTCCCCGTTACTATGCCATCAAGTTCTATTGTTATTATTCCTGTTACATTTACAGTCCTCTTGTTTTTCTTTCATTGTTGTAAACACCATTTAAACTCTGTTTTTTCCTATCCCTTTACGTTCCCAGTGGAACACAGCGAGGGCTTCAAGCTAGAGGCTTGAAGCTTCTGTATCAGTGGTGTTTACTTTTACGGGATGGGGTTGCTAGCCTCATGCCCAAGCTTCCCCTCTTTACCAATCTTATTAATAGCTTTGTGAGGTAAAGGAGTGCGTCGGTGGCCGGGGATCGAACTTCGAACCACATAAGGCGTGGTTGGCGAGCATTCTACCGCTGTGCTACCGAAGCACAACATTATTGGAGTTATTTAAATAACATCGAATCAATAATAATAATAATAATAATAATAATAATAATATGAATCGATTATGACTCAATGGCATCAACATAACACTACACACTGAATATCAGACAAATTAGCAAGGATGATAATAAAAATTCATGAATTTATAGTCTCCACATTAGGCTTTGGAAGTAGAAGTGACTAGCTGGTTGGACCTGTTTCTGCTGCACACATAGAGCACCGGTTGTTTAAGGCGAATCGCGATAGTCTCTGCTGTTTGGAGTATGTCGTATCTGGATGTTTTTCGCAATTTATTTGGTATCGAAGAGATGACGGTGGAGAAGGATTCTTTAATGCTATCTGGCTTCGTAGCTGGTCTGGTTCAGGTAGTCTAGTAGTGAACTGTTAATGATGGTTTTCACTACATCTTTATTTAAGCATACCACACGGGCAAGTGTTCCCCAACGAGGACGAAGAATCAAGTTCCTAGAGCAACAGACAATATAACTTGCTCCACGACAATAGCAATTGAATTGGTAGATGCAATTAGAGGTGGCTAGTCTAGTCTAGGAACTTCTACTTTCAGTCGAGGAATCCCCATCGGTCGTGTAGAAAATAAGATTTGTAATTTACCAGCATTAAAAGTTCTCTGAATACATTTTCTTAACTTGTTAACAGTTATTTCACTCGGTAAGTCACTCGTGAATTGCAGTCGTCCATCATCATCCTACCGAAGAACAAACCAAAATATGGATATCCCACGTGGATGACATATTCATGATAATCAAATTCACAAGAGGACAGAAAGAATCCGGGGACAAAATTCCCTTTTTTGTTGAACCTCTTAGTCAAGTGAACACATCTAATAAACTCGTGGGGAAATTCAAAAGCTAACTTCAAGAAATTCAAGTATACGCTGAAAATGTTCCCTAGAAGTGGGGCAATGAAAGCGTCATAAGTAAAACAACAGGCTCAAACGACGCAACTACATCAAAATCATCCACCTGAGCTACAAATATTCTCCATTATATCTGAGCCTACAAGTAAACCATTAATCATAATAATAATAATTTCGCTTTTATTCCAGAAACAGTACTTGTGGTACAGTGTGGAATTTTCAGCACATATCTACAATACTGCATCTAATTTCGTCGTACATTTAAAAGGAGTATTACAAAAAATAAATATAAAAAACAACAACAACCAAAAAGAAACAAAAAAATAACAAAAAATGCAAATAAAAATATCAAGTAGAAAGGAAGATAAACACCAATAATGAAAAAATATTTCAGTATTGTGTAGTGGAAGCTATGATATGTGTATGCATGGTGAAACAGTAACAGGTATAATCAAACAAGAAGTTATGAAATGATATTTAAGAATGTTTATCGCCAAGATGATCAGTTAATTTGATTGAACTACACTAAACAATCATAAGATAAACATTTCAGGTTGTGTTTTTTCTTATTGTCAGCACTAATGCGGTTGTTTGTAGTGGTAGTGTGAGGAATCATGCATAATACAAATTTTTTTTAAGATGGTGATAGTGGCAATAACAAACAAGATTGTCAGTTAAATAGTGCCAAACAAAGAACAACCACAAAAATTAATATTACATCATGGTTAATGACGGGACAATTTTTTTAATAATCATAGTGATAATATAGTCGGACCCAGTAGATATACAAAAGAAGGAATAGAATAAAGAATAAAAAAGTAAGCCAATGATAGTAATTTTAAGTAGCTAAGTATGTATAAGAAGGTTGTTCACTATAGAGTACAACTAAGAGAGTGTAAGGGGGAAATAACAAGGGCCAAAATTATGTTAATAACAACAATGCAAGCCGTAGGTTTCACGCTAAACATTGTCTGTCACTTAGAACATGGGCTGGCCGGATATGCTGTCGTTGAGTTCCTATACTCGGTTGTACGAGCATATATTATTTTATACTGATTTCTGGTTCTACCTGATGAGATGCAGGGAGAGAGTTGGGAATAGAGGGGGTGTTGGGGGTCAGAGAGTATGGTTTTAGACCATTTTTCGCATGTATTCAGATGCTTATCTACTAACGTAGTGACGAGCTGACTGAGTTTTACACCGCTAGTTCTACTAACTACCTTCAACATCCCTCTCAGGATGGTATAGTTCTTTTTCAGTAGCCCAGGAAAGATTAATGGGGAGCAGTAAAGTAGAATAGGTAAGATACGAGAGTTGACAAATTGTGAAAGCAGAAGTTGAGTGACTCCAGTTAGTCTGAGTTTCTTAATGTAGTAGATTAGACGAAACACTTCCTTGGAAATCATTTGGACATGAGATGACCTCGATAGTGTGTAATTCGCAACACAAATTCCTACGAATTCTTACAGAGATTTCCACATTAGTTTGTTTATTAGATGTATCACACAGTGAGTGAAACAGTATTATTTACTGGATAACAAGGGGTTTCGAGCACAACTCACCGTTGTTCATAATCATTTCATCAATTATAATCACACGACTTTGAAACTTGAGTTTCATAGTTTTCTTCGTCTTCTCCTATTCGTCGTCGTTGGGGTAGTAGAATGAATGGAATTACTACTGATGATTTAGACTCCTTATTGTTGGTGTCGTCATTAATATTGTTATTAATATTATTATTACTATCATCACTATTATTATTGTTATCATTATTATAATTATCACTATCGCTACTATCATCATTTATTTTAGATTTAGATTTCCCTACATATTTCCTGACTAATTTATTCGGGTAATTATTAAGTTTCAAGGCTTCTCTTATACGCCTCACTTCCTGTCTTAGATTTTCCTTGGTACTACATGGTTTTTGTGCTCTATCGCTTAAACATTTCACCAATCCTATTTTTACTGATCGTTTCTAGTTGAGTCTAAGTGGTTTAATTTAATGCCCGAAACTAATAACCCAGTAGGATGTATGGTGTTGGTAAAGTTCATAAGTCGATGTCAGTGAAAATAGGATTGGTGAAACGTTTAATTGACAAAGCACAAAACCTAAGTAATACCAAGGAAAATCTAAGACAGGAAGTGAAGCATATAAGAGAAGCCTTGAAACTTAATAATAACCCTGATAAATTAGTCAGGAAATATGAAAGGAAATGTAAAAATTAAATAAATAATGATAGTAGCGATAGTGATAATAATAATGATAATATTAATGACGACACCAACAATAAGGAATCTAAATCATCAGTAGTAATTCCATACAAGGAAGGAACCTTGGAAACCACGTTACGCAGAATTCTTAACAAGGTAGGAAGGAATAAAAGTGGCTGCTGGCATTCAAACCACCCACAAACTCAATTAGAAACAAGCTTTGTCGGTTAAAGGATCCTGTGGAGCCAATAAAACAAAACAATCTAGTTTATATAATACCCTGCTGAAATGATTGTGAGGTCAAATACATAGATCAAAGTAGTAGAACAGAGGCAGTTAGTCAGACTAGCCGAACATAGAAACCTTGCAGCAAAATCCAGATTGGTTGACCCAAATAAGATAAGAAATCTAGCGAATATTTCAGCTATAGCACTACACCACATGCGATTACACACAACCATACAATAGGCTGGATGAGATAGGATGACAGTTTTAAAATCTAATTTCACAGGGTGCAGGGAGAGATTGATAACAGAAGCTTTTTTTATCGAATCAACTGAGGATAATACGCGTAATAGGAATGATTCAACACTTGTCCGATCGGACATCTGGAAAATTTTACTACCCATACGATAAAATAGGAGAAGACAAAGAAAACTATAAAACTCAAGTTTCAAAGTCGTGTAATTACAATCGATATGATTATGAACATTAAATTTTGTTCTTAACGTCATCCAGTAAATAATACTGTTCCACTGTGTGATATATCTAATAAACAAACTGTCTGTCTGTTTTCGACATAGAACTTTGCACAAATGTGCGGAAGTTCAAGTCGCCACATTCCGTGTAGCACGCGAAGCAAGAGAAGAAAGTACAAGAAAAGCATAATAGAAACAGTGAGCAGAGGTGTGAGACAAAGGAGTAATAAAGAAATACAAAACAGTTTCATAGAAGATCATAAGTCACAGGGAGTGCATGCATCTGCGCCACTGAGAACGATTTTCAGCCATGTCACCAATTGTTTCCAACCATTTGCTTTTACCGTCCCGAGGACCCCAGCCTGGAAGTCTACACCTTTCTACGTGGTTTAGACCGACTGTTGTGGATTTCATTGACTGGTGCCAAGTTTTTGTTTGACCGCCGGTAGCTTTTTTCCAGCCTGACCCTATATCCGCTAACATTGTTTGTCACTCGAGGGAGGCGATGGCTTGGCATACGTAACACATGTCCTAACCATCTCAGTCTTTGTAACTTCACAACTTCGTCGATTGATTTCCCCTGTTTACCTAGAACTCGACGCCTAAGCTCAATGTTGCTCACCTTATTATGCCACTTTACACGGGAAATAGAACGCAGGCACCTATGATCAAAGACAGCTAGTCTTTTCATGTCTTCCACTCTCAGTGGCCAGGTCTCACAGCTGGCCATAAAGGAGGACGGAGCGGACTGATGAGCAGTACACCCGCCCTTTGGTCGATAGTCGAACATCTCGTCTACGCCAGAGTCGGCGTAAACTGGCAAATGTGAAACGAGCCCCTTGTATTCGTGCTGAGATTTCGTCAGAGATCAGCCCGTTGGGGCTGATGGTACTTCCCAAATATAATAAACAAACTAATATGGAATTACTTACTCCTACCACAGTGCCCAAGTTTTACACGTACAGAGAGTTGTCATCTGAAGCATACTGATGTCGTGTATCAGCGATACTCAGTCCCCAATTCTGTTTAGTTTCATTTTATGTGCACCAATGAGAAGTGCCTTAATCGACTTTAGTATCTAATGGAATGAGTGACTTGTTTTCAAGGCACAATCTCACTCATTTTAGGGCATGCTAAGTATTCTAAACTCCCTTGAACATGAAATCTACGAGTGTTTTGATATGTGATTCACCACCTATCGTCAAATGCATAACGATATCTCCGGAGTACTTGGTTTGCACTGACTATGCATAGACTAAAGATAATGCAATGCGTGTTGACTACCACGCTTGGACTGATCGGTCGATAACAAAACACCTCAGAACAGATAGAAAAGGCTCATTTGACATTCGCCGTAACTTGCGTCATCATCATCATCATCTTCTCTAGCATAAACGTGATATTCATCCAGCTATCGATCGAATGAGATTCATCATTCTTCTTCCCGTCTATGAGAAATGACCGTTGAAAGCGGAAGCCATTAACCATAGAAGTTTAAGTTCCATTTCCTGCATTATTAAGTGGTTTAATAGGGTGAGTAATATTGAGATCAGGAGTAGAATGTGTTAGGTAAGATGAGAGAGTCACTCAACGAAATTGTGACATTGCATCGATTGAGATAACTAAGATATGTGTTACGCATGCAAAGCTATCGTCTTCATCGACAAGCAATGTTAGTTGTCATAAGGTTGGGTTGGAAAAGAGTTACGCATGGTTGGCAATGAATGAAGTCTCCATCCGTGGATCTGAGCTAGCCAGGTATGAAGCTGTAGACTGTTTGTTTGCTTGAAGTCCTCAAGACGCTCAATAGACAAAAATAATTACAGCCTGTTAATGACATGTGCGTCGGTGGTACAGTGGTTAGGACTCTTGCCGACCATGCGCATGGTCCGGGGTTCGATCCCCTACCGACACACACCTGATATCTATGATCGGTCTGCAAAATTTGGGCTACCGACATAACATGCTGAAAATTTCATACCTGTACGAAAAATACGGTGTGGAATCAAGCTGTAATCAAAGATATAAAAAAAAATAAATAATAACACAAAATCGTTCTCAGTGGCGCAGATACATTCAGATCGCAGCAGCCACCTCAGTAACTACATCCTATTATATTACCGGTGACCGAACCCGCTAATCGATTCAGTCGGAATCCATCATGTGAACGCAAAATAGCTTTAGAATAACAGTTTCTCAACTCCCCTCCTTACACGTAGACCCCTGCATAGCCACCACTTTTGTAAGGAACCCCACCCTGACGCCCACCGCTACCGACCGTTGGCTCATGAAGGCCAAGAATAAGACTTATCGGGTAGATGAAGACTATGAACACGTGGACACATGGAGGGGATTTCGAGGAGGAGGACTGAAATCTACCCACACTCTCTTAGGTATACCGCGTCGTTTATTCACGTTTTATATAGACTTACTATCTATTAACATTTACTTCATAAAAAGAATTCACAATCTCAGTGATTACTCCCCAGCACACATACATGCATACATACATAAATAAATAACAAAAAGCAAAGACAAACAAACAATTAATAATCGATATCAATAAATCAATAAATACGAATCAATTAAACAACAGTTAGAAGTGGCTAAGAAAATAACAAACCTTGACATATGAATTCAGCTACACCCGTCGCCACATTCCAAATGATAGCTATATGATCTTGTCCACCAGAGACAAGATACTGGCCAGTACAATCAAAGTCAACACAGAAGACACTTTCTAAAATATACATAATAATAATAATAAGCAAGTGAATAAACATAGCGACGAAAGTAACTATATATTACTGATTAAATAAAGTATAATTCTGTTTAAGTAGTTTACACACAATGATAAGCTTTTGTTATTGGCAATATTTCGAGCAAAATCACCACTGCCCGTGTTCACACACCAACTGTTGGAATTGTTTTTTTCACATAGTAACGAAGGTGATAATAATTTTCAACTTGATATGAAAGTTTGAAGGTACGAATATAGATTAAAAGGGGCTTAGAGACAAGATTTCATAGGATTAGAAAATAGTTACAACGTATGCAAAAAATTAATATTTGATAACTGGAGAATTAATTTTAAAGGCAAATCAAAGGTGATAATTATTTTCGACTTGATATGAATTCAAAGAGGCTTAGAAACGCAGGGATAGACCGAATTACAGGTGTGAACATGCTCATTTTGTTCACACCTGTAATTCGTTTTATCCCTGAGTTTCTAAGCCTCTTGGAATTGTTTTTATTCACACATTTATGGTATGTACTCATATATATATGACAGTTGTGCCGTTGAGTCACCCTAGTTACATGTATCCGATGTAACCTTAATGAATATAGATTCTGTTATAAGTCTCTCTTTCCATTTGTTCGTATTCGTTTTAAGATTACACAAGCATTGATCCAATCGATATTGTGGTTTTGGTCCCACGCTGCATGTGCAGCTATCGATGAATTTTTTTTCTCTAAATTCTTGTAAGCCTGTGTTCCTGTTGGTCGACCTTTATGGTTAGGCAGGCGTTAATGTTCATTCACTCTCATTTTGAGTGATCTGGACGTGTTCGCCCCATATGATTTAGTCGGACAGTAGTCAGTCAGCACAAGATATTTTGTAAATCCGATTGTTTTTATCCATCATTTTTATTGGATCTTTCATCAGTTGATTTATTTTATTTTTGATTAGATTCGTCGTCGGTTTAAACGTGATGCAAGCCCCAATATTTTTGAGGTATGGTATCGTGACTGTTTTATTTTCCTTGCATTCTTCACAGTTACAATACCATACAAAAATGGTACATCAGAGGCGACGCAATTCAAAGAAACCTCAAAAATATTGGGGCTTGCATCACGTTTAAACCGACGACGAATCTAATCAAAAATAAAATAAATCTGAAAGATCCAATAAAAATGATGGATAAAAACAATCGGATTTACAAAATATCGTGTGCTGACTGACTACTGTCCGACTAAATCATATGGGGCGAACACGTCCAGATCACTCAAAATGAGAGTGAATGAACATTAACGCCTGCCTAACCATAAAGGTCGACCAACAGGAACACAAGCTTACAAGAATTCAGAGAACAAAAATTCATCGATAGCTGCACATGCAGCGTGGGACAAAAACCACAATATCGATTGGATCAATGCTTGTGTATTCTTAAAATGAATACGAACAAATGGAAAGAGAGACTTATAACAGAATCTATATTCATTAAGGTTACATCGGATACATGTAACTAGGGTGACTCAGCAGCACAACTGTCAACATCCTGGAATACAATTCTGAATACAAAAACATGAATGAACAAGGAAACGAACCATATATATGAGTATTATTATTATTGTTCCCTAGGGCTTCAACTGCACGTCTCCATTTGCTTCTGTCTTCCTTCTGCTGTACTTCTCACCTGCATCCATGTTCACCACCCATACTGTTACAACTCCTCTTCACATGATTTCCTCCATGTCACCCTTGCACCGACGACCCACTCGCCGTTTCCCTTTCGGCCTGGTTCCACTCGAGAAATGGCCTGACGCGCGCACGATGTCACCCAGCGGCCTCCTCAGCGAGTGTCCAATGTGTCATCTCCACTTTCTCTTGCACATTTGTTGGTTGGCGATTGGTCCTTGTTTTGTTTGTTTGTTCCCATAGGAGCTACAGAAAGTACCACTTCCTTGTACACAGAAAGTTCAGTTTGAAGTCAAAAACCAGCTGTACCGGAGAATTGACGGGATCAGTTGAACTCACTATTAACTTTTCAAATCTAATCTAATCTACTCTAGAATTCAATGGTGACACTGAAGCAGAAATCCTTCGTAAACGCCCCCGGCAAATCTCTGAGGAAAACATACTTTGCCGCAAGCCCACAACTAACATTTTCCGGCCAGAACGCGAAAGACAAGCTGTCGCATTGGGCTACTTCAAAGTGTATATACCAGTTTACTTGCTGTTGAGGAGCTGAGTACATCGGCCGTACCATGCACCGATTCTGTTTAGTGATCTTCATTGTTATTTTGACTTTCACTATGCTCTTTTAAACCAAGGGACGTGTGTACTGCTCATCAGTTCGCTCCGTCCTTCTCTATGGCTCTGAAACATGGCCAATACGCGTTGAAGACATGAAAAGGTTGACTGCTTTCGATCATAGATGTCTGCGATCTCTGTCTCACGTTAGGTGGTTTCACAAGATAAGTAATGTTGACGTTAGGCGTAGAGTGTTGGGCAAACAGGGAAAATCAATCGACGAGGCTATAAAGTTACATAGACTAAGATGGCTAGGTCACGTGCTGCGCATGCCTAACCACCGCCTCCCCCGACGGGCATTGCTAGCTGATATAGGTTCAGGTTGGAAAAGAGCCAGTGGTGGCCAAACAAAAACATGGCCTCATCAATCCATGAAATCCTTGACAGTTAAACTGAGTCAGGTAGGGAGAATCAGACTCCCGGTTTGGGGCCCTCGGGACTCTAGGAATCAATGGCAGGAGACAATAGGTGACATGGCTCAAAATCGTTGTCAATGGCGCAGATGTATTCAGTCTCTGTAATCTTTCATATTCCTTTTCACCATTACCCATTCTGTTTCACTCTTATACTTGTCAAACTCTATTGATTCTCTTCACTCATCTTCTTGTCTACCTCTGTGTGCTATTTGGAACGTGGCAACTCGAACTGCTGCACTTCGGTGCCAAGTTCTATGTTGAATCCAGACAGACAGACGGGAGCCTCTGGGGTGACATTCGCAGCACGTGTCCAAACCACCGGAGCCGGTGTTTCCAGATGACGACACTCAATGAATGGTGATCTCCACTGTGTTCAAACACACGCCGCCGAACCTCAGAATTACTCACGCAATGATGCCATCGAACGCAAGCAATCCTGCGGAGACAGCGGTGATCGAACACGCAGAGTCGCCGCACATCCTCAGCTCGGAGAGGCCAGGCTTCACAGGCCTGGAGCAAGACAGCCCGCACCGAAGTATTGTATACCCGACCTTTGACAGCCAGGCTAACGTCGCGACGGCGCCATAGGTGGCTTAAGTTTATGTATGCCAGCCTAGCCTTTGTTATACGGTTGGAAATCTCATCCGTCACCCCTCCGCCAGCACTCACACAACTACCCAGGTACACAAACTTATCAACAACTTCAAGCGGTTCACCCGCAAGAGTGAGTGCAGGTACAGGCTCCTGCCAATCTTGTAACAGTACTTTGCAGTTAGACGGCCCAAAGCACATACCATACTTACAGACACTGATCGCCAACTGATTAAGTGCGATTTGGGCAGCCTGCATGCTATCGCACAGTAAGACGATATCGTCTGCATACTCGAGGTCGAAAAGTCTATCTCCAGGTAGCAGATCTACACCACCTTCACTCACATCCTTCAGAGCTGACTCCAGAATGTCATCGATGGTAAAGTTAAAGAGAAATGGAGGGATTGGGCAACCCTGTCTAACCCACTGTTTTTGTCAAAGTACCAAAAAGTAATATAGTTAGGTGGAGACAGAGTGTGTGGTTAATCACTGAATCGCATCAATACTGAGCAGGTTCAATCGAAATGACGGATATATTTATATATACGCAATATAGCACTAAAAATATTACAGAGAAAGGCTATATGAAGCGGGTTCTGTCTGTCTGTCTGTCTGTTTTCGAAGCGGGTTAGGAAAATTTTGTGAATAACACTGAATCGATATGATTATGAGCAGTAATACAATTGTGCTTGAAACGATGTCATCCACTTATGAAACCTGTATATTATATCGAGTAAATCTATCCAATAGAGAATGACAGTGTGTAATACAAGATGTACGACGCTTTGTCCTATTCGGGAGACTCGTTCGTCAGCTGGATATCTACCTACATTCCAACTGTGATAATATCTCCCTCCCTCGACTTCCACACTAGAGCACAATTCTCATTTTCTAGTAGATAACGCCTTAGAGTTTGAAATGATAGATGTTGGGTTTGAGTTTCACTGGGAACACTGTCCACCACTACTCAGTAGAAGGGGGAAGGGAATGCAGGTACACATCCAACTAGCTAACGAGTCAGTTCCAAACAGGACGATATAAGCATCCACTTGTATTCAACTACTAGTCACTGACCCATTCAATCTTCCGCCTATTCAGGGTACTTCAGGTCAATCTTCACACAACGTCAAAGCAGCTGCGTACTATGAGGCAGCGCCAAGAGATCGAAGATTTCGGTCGAATCAATCAATTTGAAAATCAAAAATTTCTACTTAATTGTAACACCAGTTGTCTGAGCTGATGAACTCTGTCCCAAACGAAACACCTGCTTGGCGTTTAGGTCGCGTCGATATAGCTAGGTGGTTGTGGCTAGCACGTACTACTGGTTGTGAATATAAGTGAGTGGTTCACAACTACTTATTGTAATTAATCAGTAGTACATAGTTTTATGCAAAAATTAAAATTCACTTAAAATGACAAATATATGGAAACACATACCTTTATGTCCTGAAAACAACTGGAATGTATCATCTTGAGGCGGTGTGAACTCTTGGACAACATCCATTTGCTCTTCAAATACATCGCCTTCTATATTTGGGGAAATCAAAATGTGAAAAACATCATTAATTCAATCGATTTACACATAAAAACAAAGAATAAATTACAATATGAAGGTAAGTTCATTACAGAATTCCGTGTTAGGCGGCTAATTGTATGTAGGAGGTCAACGTTTAAGTATTGGTTTGGGGGGATGAGATCTGATTGGTTACATGCACCATGATGTGACATTAGTTAGAGAACCATTGGAAAACCAGCCACAGGGAGTACTGACAGACGGACAGATAGACAGTTGTTTCGTCGGACTAGTTGGGGACTCTGCTTCACTGGTATGCACCCACCACGGGGGTTCGACCCCGCGACATGCTAACTATAAGGCGATATCGTAGACTATTATGTCACTTGGACTTGATCCAATGACCAGCCCATGAATTCCAACTTCTGTCAATTCACGATATAGTGCGAAACAGCTGTCCAGTACTCCTAGGTTTTTCTAATGAAATGCTGTAATCAATCAAATCAAATCTCAGCAAACCAACATTTGAATATCAATCTGAGGACCACTAGCAACCCACCCTATTCATCAGGTGAGAAGTCGTGCCCAGTGTGGTACAGAGCAGGTCAGTGGGGGGTAAGGAAAAATACTCCCCACAGATGATATTGGCGAGTGGCCGTAGCATCTCATGAATTAGCAGAAGTCGAAATTCATAGGCTGCCTGGGTCAATGGATCGGGTCCCAGTGGCTAGGTAATGGTCTACGAGATCATCTTGTAGCCAGACGGTCTACGCTTCGAACCCCCTGTGGTGGGTGAGTACTGCTGGAGCAGAGTCCTGAACTAGGCTGACGAAACAGCTGACTGGCAGTACTCTCAGCTGGTTTTCCGATGGTCCTCTAACCGATAGCAGCTCATGATGAAATCCTAAAATAATATTCAATTGAATTGCACCATAAAAAATAACGAAAGATCCTTCAGGAAAACAACAACAGTGTCCCCTACACATATATTGGATAAGAAAGTACACAAATAACATTTTTATTTCTCAGGATGAAAGCGGTACATTGTATGTCAGGCAAAGTCGTCCACTTCGTTGCTTACTGAGGCTGGTGTCCCTCAAGGCGCTGTCCTTTTTCCTTTTTTGTTTTCTTTCTTCTTGCACGACTTGTCTCACTCTGATGAAATGAACTTTGTTAAATATGCGAACGATCTAACTATTTTAATGTCTGCTAACTCCCAGTATGACTCTACTAAGATGAACAGCTTTGTATAAGGAGTTAGCAAATGGTCTTCGCCTAACGGCCTTAAACTAAATCCCTCCAAGTGTCAGACTATCAATTTCAGTTTTTGATGTAAAAGAAAGTTAAATGAAGCTGTTGGTTCCTATGACCCTTGCAAAATTGATGATACTGATATAGAAATTAAGTCTGAAGTTAAGTATTTTGGTCTTTCTTCTGACCTATCCTGGTCGTCCCATGTCTCGGCGATTCCTAGTAAAATATTTCACCTGACATTTTGCACTAAGTACTCAAGCATAACCCAGCCACTCCTCTTACAGTTTGTCAACTCGAGTATTTTACCCATTCTTCTTTACTGTTCACTCTTATTCTTTCCTGGATTGCTTAAAAAAGACTATATCATACTTCGTAGAACTCTGAAGACTGTCAGTAGGACGAGTGGTGGTATCCCATTGGGCCATATCGTTGACATTGTCACTGATAGGTACACTTGATGTCACATAGCAAAGTTGCTAAAGGAATTTTGTCAAACTGTGAGCATCCACTTCACCCGCGTCTCCAACCTTGTATCTCCTCAGGTAAAACAAGAAGTCTTTTCAAAAGACTTGATGCACGTACGTCTAAGTATGCAAATTCCCCTGTACCACACTTAGCACATACTTTATGTGATGAAAATAGTGTCAGGCATGAACTAATGAACCTTCTTTGCACTACTAAATAAACCATTTTCTCCATCCTTACAGCATCAAGCTTTATTGTTATTGTATTTCTTATCCTATCAATTTGTTTTTATTTATTTATTTTTCATAAGTGTGGACATCATTTAATCTGTGTTATAACTGTTAATTTCCCCTCACTATACTACATCGACAGAACATTAGATCCAATAATCTATAACATGCTAAAATTTCCAAACTGAATCGACAATACCGTTTGAAACAAACTCACTGTTATTATTATCATTGTTATATTTAATAATCTCAATTCGTGCTTCGAATATTTTTGACTTTATATCGTAAATGTGAACAAATTCCTCTGGTTAATTTTGTTTTAATTTTATTTATACTTTGAGTAAATCAAATGCAAGATATTGTGACAAATGCTGAGAATTCCATTCTGTTTTATAAGTACTGTTTTTGGACTAAAGTAGATTATTATTATTATAAGTTTCTTGAATCACCTTGGGTTGATCCATTTCGCTAATGGTAATATCGCTGGTTAATTGATTCAAAATGGGGAAAATAAGCAAAGGCCTATAAAGTGAAAATAGAAGTATGACAAGGCTGCCTGGCGTGATACTCCTGACTGTCATGGATTGGGTCATGCGGCAAACCTTTTTCAAGGGAGACAGAGAGGAGACAGGAATCAATACGTCTGGCTGACAACGAAAATCCCTCTATAAGATACGAACTTTGCAGAGGAATTCCGTCTAATGTCAGAAGAACTACAGAAGAAAACCGATGCCTAACCTCAATATTGTTCGTTGAATTTCCTGCACACTAACAGTCTTAACCGCATATAACGAATATCTTAAAAGTTTTCAGTTGCTTTGAGTTAACCTGTTCTCTGGTAAAACGAATTTTTTGATGAATTTACGCCTTGACACACATTCTACGATATAAGCCTCGTTTAGTATACTCACCAGTCGTAAACCTAGAAAGAAGAGAAGAATGTGCTTGGGACTCTGACCATCTGAGTTTGAAAAGTATACCATCGCACAGAAGTATAGCAGTTCAAGTTACTACATACCATATAATACATACAGTTAGACAATACAGACAGAGAAAAAGGGAACTGAAAAGTTACTAAAATGACCAGTAATGTATGGGGAAATAACAATGGTAACATATGAGAACATGATAAAACACAAGAACTTAATACATCTGAGAGATTACACAAAGAGTGAATGCATCAATGACAGTGAGAACGACTTTGAACCATATCTCCAATCATTGGTTCTTGAAGTCCCGAGGACTCCAACCACGCACCTCCTTAAATGACTGGCTCAAGTCAACGGTTCAAAGAATTTAAGAGATTGACGCCATTAGGTTTTAGGTTGACTACCATCTCTAACTCATTTTCAACGTAATCTTATGTTAGCTAAGATGGCCCACCCATCCAACAAAGTGATAGCTCGGCAAGCGTAACACACGCATTGTTCTAGACATCTTAATCGATGTCGCTTTCCAAACTTATTGACAGACACATATGGGCATTATAAATAATAATAATAATAATCAGCTTTATTCCAAAAACAGTACTTATAATAATACAGTTTGGAATTGTCAGCATTTGTCACGATATTGCATCTAATTTACTCAAAATACAAATGGGATTAAGCACGGGAACTCCTCCACATTTACAGTGGGAGTAATGTTTAAAATATACAGTGTGAGTAGTAGTAATACTAATTAAGTCAGGTTTGTTTTAAACAATATTGTCAATACACTATGGAAATCTTAGCAATCTATGAAAGCTTTCTTGACATAGCATGGTGACGGGAAAAACAAAAACTAACACGTATGACAGTGTTGAAATTGGTGCGTCGGTGCTCGCGGACCATGCGTGTGGTCCGAAGTTCGATCCCAGGCCACCGACGCACTCCTTTATCTTGCCAAACCAACAATTAAGACTGGTAAAGAGGAAACGTTGGGCATGAAGCTAGCAACCCCATCCCGTAAAAATAAACACCACTGATACAGAAACTTCAAGCCTCTAGCTTGAAGCCCTCGCTGTGTTCCACTGGGAACGTAAAGGAATAGAAGAAACAGAGTTTAAATGGTGTTTACAACAATGAAAGAAAAACAAGAGGACTGTAAATGTAACAGGAGTAATAACAGTAAAACTTGATGGCATAGAAACAGAGGAAATGGTTTATTTACTAGTGCTAAGGTTAGTCAGTTAGTTCATGCCTGACACTATTTTTATCATATAGAATATGTGGCAAATATGGTGTCATGGAATTTGTATACTTAGAATTGAGCGAGTAGTCTTTCGAAACGACTTCTTGTTCTATCTGAAGAGGAGGTGCAAGGTGAAAGCTGAGGGTAAAGTGGATGTTCACAGTCTGACAAAATCGCTTCAGCAAATTTATTACATGAAACCATTAAGGGTCTATCAGTAATGACGATGTCAACGATTCGGCCCAAAGGAATACCACTTGGTCTACTGATTGACAGTCGTCAGAGTTCTACTAAGTAAGCAATCCAGGGAAGAATAAAGGTGAACAATAAGGAAGAAAGGAGAAATGTAAGAATTTACAAACTGTAACAGGTAGAGTTGAGCTATGCCTGACCTTAATCGAAAAAGTCAGATAGAATATTCTATTAGGTATCGCTAGGACATGAGAAGACCGGGATAGGTCAGAAGAAAGAATTAATTCAAGTTATATAACTTCAGACTTGATTTCTATGTCAATATCATCAATTTTGCAGGGGTCAAAGGAATTAACAGCTTCATTTAACTTTCTTTTACATCCGAAACTGAAATTAACACACTGATATTTGGAAGGATTTAGTTTAAGACCATTAGATGAGGACAATTTGCTGACTCCTGATAGAAATCTGGAATTGTAAAAACTAGTGGCTGGAGAGAGTCGGTGATACGGCTGGCTCAAAATCGTTCTCAATGTCTGGCACAGATGTAGTCACCCTGTGTGATTTATCACATCCATTAAGACTGCTGTTCTTCTTCCATATTACCTCGCCTTTCTTCCTTACATTTGTCTTTTCTAAATCTCTTCTCTTGCTTTTTACGCTGCATGGAGTGTGGCAACTCGTACTGCTGGACATCTGTG